GATGTTAGAAATCTTTTTATGGCAAAGGGCCGACTGTCTCGCAGCACAATTCCATATACAAAGCTGTGACCCAGTCTCAGACCATCACAAGCACAGCTGTCGTAATGACGAGTGGTCATGATCAGTCAGAGCAGAGTCACTACACGGCCATCGCTGAATCCCTGGATGCTAGAAATCTATCTTATGGCACTGGGCCGACTGCCTTGAAGGAAAACTCTGTGTACACAAAAGTGGAAACACCATGATTCAATCCACATTTATACGGCCAGGAAGACTGGACAATCGATAAGGGAAAATTATATCTGTCTCTACAATTAAGACCATTAATCTTTGTAATATCTTGTACATAATTTGAAATCAGTTCAGGATCACTAAGTTCTTGCTGAAAGACCATTGTTATTAATTTATCTGTTAGTGTTAAGTGTTAAGTTATGTTTATTGATAAGTTCTTTCTTTTGCATCCTATCTTTAGTAATGAACAGTGGTTATGATCAGACAGGGCAGAGCCAGTCTCAGGAAAACAATGAATCCTTGGAGGCTGGAAATCTTATGGCGCAGCATCCACTGCTTTGCAGCTAAATGATCTGTACAAAACAGCAACTGCATGTAATAAGAGTGTCTTTAAAGGAACTCTCATGGGCCATGCAGAGACAGTACCTGTCAAACACGTATTGCTCTTACTGTTATTTTTTAGTCATAACATTACTTTGTACTTGGATACAGCACGATAGTTCCTATTCATAACATTTGTGCTTGCATCAACATGATAGTCCCTATCCATAAGCATACTTTTAGGAATTGTGTGATATATATATTGACAAGGTAGAACGTAGAACGTGTTCCAAGATTGTTGATTACGACTTATATCCTTGTATATACTTGTATCTGCAAGATAGTAATGTAGCGAAGTTGTGAATATTGGTTATATGAATAAAGAAAACGTTACATTTCAAAAAGAAACGTATAGCAAAGCCGTGTAACATTTCAACAGCAGCTTGGGGTTGACCAACGGTTTAATTTGGCTAATCTTTGGGAAAATAACTGACAACTGAAAACTAACTGTGTGAGCGCTCGATTTACTACATTTTGAAATAGTCATCATCACTTCGTAATGTAAATGATTGTTGCTATGTAAGTTTCACGATCACGAAATATCACAAAATTTCCTTTGAAATGGTGTGGGCTTACAAATCTGAACAGTAGCCGTTTCCATTGTTTAACATACATTGATTTAGATGTTCTGCTGCTTGTCAAATGTTTGATGACTATCACAACCTCTCTTAATATAGGAAGCGAGGACTTGCTCGTTTATATATTGCTATCTATAATCTGGTAAAGTAAGACACCACGACCTGTATTACTGTTTTTGTGTATAGAGAACTTTGTCACCATGACCTGTACTTAGCCTGTAAGACGGCCGGGCATAAATGTTCAATGTACAATAATGTTCATTCATTGATTCATTTATTTATCAATAAATACAGCAGAACTTTGCACATTAATTGTGTTTCCTTCAGTAAAACTCCACTCCCAGCTCCCCTCCTCTAATCTAGAAGAAAACTTGCACGTGGACTGCCCCCGTCAATCAGGAAAAATTCTTAAGTTAAGATGTTTAACGATACACAAAAATATGCATGTCAAAATCAGTCTGTTGTACATGTTGAAGGTCGGCTGCAGTACCATGGAAAGCCGTCAGGTGGCCGATAATCTAACCAATTTTAATTTTTTTGGCACAAAATACCAACTAGGAAACCAACCCATTTAGACGTTCCAGAGCTATCTTGGCAACGCGCAGACAGACCATACAATCACTACCGAAATGACAAACAATTTTTCAAGTGTCTGAAATGCTACTGTCTGATTTCACTATGCATTAAAAGATGCAGCACACTTTTTTAGGTTCTTGTTTGTCTGTTTTGTCTGCCTGTCACAATATATTGGACTAGAAAACTGTTTAAAAATTGCATGCAGTAACCACACTAGGTCTGTTTGTATATGTTTTTCAAACCTCGACTTCATAAGTGCAACCTCAGCCTAGTGATCCCAGTAAAAATCTGATCCCAGTACATGTATGTATTATATAATAATTTTCTTAGTTCCATGCTGGTATGACAAAACCAAAAAAAGTAAATATGCAACTTGAGACCTGCATCATGATTTGAATTTTCATCATGTCAACAATATTATCCAAATATTGACTAATATTGGGTTGTTTGTCACACGACAATTTGTGGATTAGCTGCCGAAGGAGGCTGACACACCTTACAAGAACAAAAACCTGTGCCCTTGTTAACGTTCCTGTCAAAAAGTGGCTGCTAATTACAGCCACCTTAAAAGGTAACCGTTATGTGTTAACTTCAGATAAATAAACCTCATGTCACCTCAGGGCCGTTTTCAGGATTAAGGCTTCTGTAAATAGATTTTTCTCAGATCGAACTAAAATGTATTATGTAAGCACCGCGTACCTTTTGCCGGCTGGTGAGTTGTTGTACAGGAAGTCACTCATACTAAACACCAGGCTTCTGGCTCTGGTCATGACGAGTGCTGACAGCTCATGAACAACGGAGATGTAGCTGCTGAACGTATTCCTGGTGATGGAATTATCACATTGTATTAATTTGCATCAAAAACACATACAAGACAATGCAGTATTAGCTTACGTATTACTATTAAGAGATAATCAATAGAGATAGTGGGTGGAAAAAACTCCCTGGCACTTTCAATGCCAATGCCAATTGCTAAATGCATAATGTCATGTACCACGTGGCCTGGGTGATTTGGTCACATGAAATCTGAGTGCAGGATAGTTGAAATTCGACGACACAAACTTTGTTGGGAAAAGAGAAACAAAGCATTAGATCTGTACTATGTTAATCCATACAAATTAACCTTTATATGCTCAGTCACTAGGGTTGTTGGCGTCCACGTTTTAGGGTTTGGACTGTCTTAAAAATTCACAGATTAAAAAAAGGTCAGCAAGTAATCATGTTTAATCTCGTTGTTTTCAGTGAATATACTGTAAATAATCTGTAGCAACCAGCGCAATATGATTGTTATTAAAACAATTTTCTTACGCTCTAGCATTTTGCAACCAAGTATCATCAATGTATCTTAATTCGAAGGTCTTGATTTTCCTGAAGTAAAAATGAAAGCAAACCATGCCATACCTTTTCTGACACCCAGTGTTCTGACTGAGAGCACACTTCAGCATACTGTCCAGAGTCATCAGGCTCACGTGTTGGAACACATCTATAGAGGAGCCGGGACCCAACTCTTCCCAGTTTTGCTATGAGTCAGCAGGAAAAAATGTTGCAGCATTGTTCATACATTTATCTATTTATTTATTTATTTTTTTATATTCGATCATCTAATCACAAGACGTGGTGACGGTACACTCATTTTTTTCAACGCGGCAACCAACAAGCAATACAATACTTATTTTCACCTGAGCGAAGTGAAGAAAGTCGTGTAAAGTGTGCCTTTCCCAAGGGCACAAGATCGGTGGCATGTCAGGACTCGAACCCGGGGCCTCTTGGTTCCAAGTCGAGCACTCTGCCGCTACGCCACACGACCCCACATTTATTTGTCAAGAGCCGTTGTTTTGAGGACCGTCTGTCATCTTGATCAAGACAATAATGATGGTTCACTGTGCACTGTAACCTAGTGTATACACTTCAGTGCACAGTGAACCAGTAACACTTCAATTCAGTGCACAGTCAAAATTGCCCCGATGAAGATAACAGACAGGCATAAAAACGCCGGCTCCTGTTAAACAAGTGGTTGTAATTAAAAAAAAAACTGTACTATTCGATCATTCACCAACATGATGAAATCATTCACGGGTGCAAGATTAGGCAAATTGTTATAGATGTATTAGACTGATCAATGGATACATTATCTGCAAATGCAGTTAAAGATGATTCTTATACCTACCAGCATAACATTTGCACTGTCAGAAAAGAGCTTGACGTAAGGCCTCAGCACCTCGAAGTGGAATCCTGGCGTAAGAAGTCGCCGGTTCCGGAACCACTTGGCACCGCTGGTGGTCAGAAGACCATCCCCTGTTTTAGAACAGATCTCACTGGTATCAAAGGTTTTTACCACCTAATCCATGGAGTTCATAGCGAAACCACTTTACATGGCAATCGACTGTATACGTAAAAGCCGGCCCGTGGTCTGTGTTTACTTATGTACATTGTACCTATAAATAAAGTTCATCTATGTCATTTGGTAGAAGTCATTATGAAGCAAGATTAAACTGTAATTTTCAACACAAGAAATTGGACCCAAATTTCCCATTGTTAGGATACTACTTGGAGAAATACATGAATGAATCTTCTAGGATTAATCATGCTTGCAATTCACCAGAAATGTTATTTGATCTGGTACATGTACTATGACGTATTATCATATAGCCAGAAGGCGTCGACCAATCATAATGCTCCATTTGCCATTGGTTATCAGGCCGTAACCTCAAAAGTGGTTTGTTATTAGAATAACTGACCACGTTTGAGGTTACGGTCTACACCTCAATATCCTCGGTGTATATGGTAATATAATCCCTGTCCAGGTGCGATAACCACCTCATAAACCACCTCGATCGCTCCGCTCACTTGGTGGTTTATTCGGTGGTTATCGCACCTCACCAGGGATTATCTCACTATATACACCTCGGGCGGGTCATTAACCCTTTATAAAAAAGTCCGTGGTGAATGCTGGAAAAGGTTATAAACCATTGCATAATACATAGACGTAAATGGGAGGTACAGACTAACCTAGCCAGGGTCGCAGCAGTCCGTAGATTCGTTCATCCTTTTTATCTGTTGATAGAAAGATAAAACAAAAACAATGCACGAAGTTTCTTCCTTTGTCAATGCAGAACGTTAAGTCATACATGATAAAAATGCCACTTGAACCAGAGTTCCAAAACCTCATGCAACTTGTATGCTACCAAATATATATATATAGGAAATATATAATATATAAAAAATTATATAGGAATAGAAAAACGGACAGAAATAATCTTCCAGTAAGTTTTTGGAACCATACTGTAGTTTTATGAACTGACCTGGCCGCTGTAGCACCGCTTTGATATAGTCTGGGTGATTCACCGACAATACGCCCTCTAGTGGACCATGTTTGAAGATGTAGGCGTATGGATATTGGATTGCCCATTCTAGTCCGATCTTGTCGAATTCCCGTTCACCATTTGCCAGCTGTAAAATGACAGAAATCAACATAAGTCAGTAAAGGCTTTGACTGCCCGATGAGATTGAGAAGTAAAGATTGATAAACATCATCCATCAATGGGAACATTGCAATTATATATCTACCCCATACACTGCCTGCCGCAGGTTATAGACGGGTCGGCCCACTTATCTTATCTTACCTTAGATCGTGTACTTCTTTTCTATTGAAAAAATTGTGTTTATTTTGACAGAGAAGACTCATTACAAAAACGAGAATTCCAAGATCTCATACCTCAATGAAATATATAAAGCTTTGTTATTTGTTTTAAATTCTGTGTCACGTTACATGGAGGGACCAGAACAAGAAACACACAAGGAAACCAATCATGCGGGCACTGTGATTGGTGGCAATTTGCTAGCTACGGCCTAGTTAAACTCTCGGCATACACTCAAAGACACAATCTCACCTGCGGAAGCGTACACAGAAACACAAACGAACCAAACAAACTTTGTGGAGGTAACAAGTAAACTTCACTTACTAACACCAGGTGTCCGAGGAGCCAGTGTGCCCCTGGCGGGACAGGGAAGTCCTTCTCCAGTGCCCACAGAGCTCGTAGCTTCCTCTGAACACTGGTAATAACCTTTAATACCAGTGTCACAACTACAGCAAGAATGCAGAACTGGGCGGCTGCGACTATCTTGGAATTTAAAGACGGCTGTTGACTATTGTCCGCCGACATCGCAGTATGAGAGTAAAAACCTCCCCACAAAACAACCGAATCTGTTCAATTCTGTTATTCTGTCGTATAACGAGTGTACGCCCACCAAAACAAAGAGTGACCCCCTTTCCGTACTAACAAAACTGGTCCAAAAATGGCGGAAGGTGGGAGGGTGCAAAGGTTATAGGTTATGTTATAAATAAGGTCAGTTTTGTTGGCATATGATACATGGTTAGTTTTCAACATTTTGAGGAGGTCGGCACTTTCCATCAGTGAGCATGCATATCTTGTCAGCAAAGTCGTATCTTGGCCCTAGTGTGGTAATTCCTGGAATTGAAGTAACAGGTGGCAAGACGTTGGACACGTACGCCTACTGTAACTACTTATCTACAAGGCAAATCTATCCACCCCCGAGCTACTAGCTGGCTGTCGAACTGCATTATTGTCAACCTTGCCCTGTGCAACAGAGCCAAGCTTGTGGCCATTTATTAATGCGTCAGCATGGTGTGATCTCTGCAAGTACTAAGGGAAATACGTGTTGACAGGGAAGGTGGGGGGGGGCGGAGTTGTCATCAAACGTCGTTGGCCACTTTAAAATCTCCTTAACTCCAGCGTGAAGTGGTGAAGTGAATTAGGACAATAAGACAGAAACAGTTATTCATCTCATATTTTTAATTCAGAAAACAATTTCAGTCGAAACCCGTGATAACTACCTTCACACGTGATAACGATTGTCTCAAACGTATCACGTATCACCAACCATTATATCTCCTTCTAGGGAGATGAATATCTATTTTTTCACCAGATACAGAACCATTAACTTTCCAGTGGATTAATGAGATAGAGGGTCGCTATCTCATTTTTTTTTACTACAAAGAGTATCAAAATTCTTCTTCCAGTCAATTAAAGAGATAGAGGGTCGGTAGCTCGATTTTTTCACTACAATGAGTATCAAAATTCTCTTTCTAGTGAATTAATGACTATTGTTAGTATTGTACATGTATATATCTTGGAGCGTACATTTGGTAGCTACATTCTAAAAGTGTTAGAGAAAAGTATAGATTCTTGGGGGACACCACAGGTTAAATTTTTCTGGGAAGAAGTACAGTTTCCACTTGATACCTATAGTATTGCTTTCTGTTATACAGGTAGTCTGAAAGCCAGTCAATGGCAGAATATATCTTTAAAACCATAAGTCTTGATAAATCAAAATTTATCAAGAAGTATACTGTGATCAACCGTATCGAACGCCTTGGATAAATCGAGAAATATTCCGACGGTGAACTCATTATTCTCCAGGACCGACGTGATTTTATCAATACGCTGTAATATGATATATAAGAGGGCCATATAAGTTGAGTTGCGTAGTAATGTGTTATAACGATACAACCCTGACAGCAATTTTAGTACAAGTAGTGCCATGGAGGATAATATTGAAACATTACTTCTGATTTGGTTGTCAAACTGCAACCTGACATTGGTGGCAGATACAAACGTATGTTGGTAATTTTTGTTCCAGTCTCCATGTTGTTTTAGGCTGTAGACTGTTGTGATGGTTTGAAGTTGGAAATTTTCTTCTATTGTTTTCTTTATTGTGCAAAGTCAACTCCATGCATAGGAGATTTTCTTGGTTAGATGTTAGATGAAAAAAAAATACAAATGATGTATCTTGAATAAGAATGTAAGCAATATTTTTGCTAAAAGATTTACAGTAATTGTCCTTAATATATTTTTAGATTATGATGCAGCTTGTGCTGTATATGCACTGTGTTTGTGACAAAAATGAATCTTCATGGGAGTAATATAATGTTCCATAATTAGTATAAGATATTTGTTCTTACGCTTGATATTACTAGGATTGTATACATAAGTCATTCTGGCTTTATAATTACGTTATCTACAAAAATGATACAAAGTTTCAATTAGCAAAAGGGATTCTTATCTGTCTCTCTTTATATCTGCAGTTTCTCACTTCATCAGTGAAGCATATGTCTGCAAAAGAAACACATAATACTCTGATTTCAGCGTAGTACAGCCAACTTACCCAGTTAAATCTAAAGAAAAGCACTGAACCATGATATACAATGGCAAACACGATGGAGTACTTTCGTAAGGTCTTTCACTACATGTCGACATACAGACAGATACGTGGGTACAATAAAATTGACCTACGTACAAGACAATAGATGAATCATATAGCCTGGTAAGACTTAGTAAGATCAACAAAGTTCATGCATCTTAGAGAAAGCGTTACCTTGTAATCTTGAATGATCCGGTCCAGAGTCACCTTCAGGTTCGGGAAAGTTGGTCTGTTCTCAGGGAGGGTTTCCCAACAGCACCTCATCACATCGTAACTGTTGCAGACAGAATATATTTGCATCAACGTAACAGGTAATTCACTGAAAGGACGTATATTGTACTTATAAGTATTCCATAGAGATCTCTATCGGTAGCCAACTTTTATTCACAGTCTTGTCATTAAAGGGAACTGTGCAATAGCCTATACAAAAAGCGTCACTGAAGCTATCCTTCATGTAACAGTAAAATTGTAATACTACGAAGGCCCAGGACGACAAAAGTGCCAGCCTCTGTAGATGTGCTCATCGACCTCCACATGGGCCGTGTACTCACAGGCCTTCGCAGAGGCTGTGTGCAAAAACCTCTGCGGAGGCCTGTGGGTACCATTGCAGAGATCTGTGAACACTGCAGAGGACGCAACATTTGTCGTTCTGGGCTTCCGTATAAATTAAAGAAAGGCTAAATACAAGTGCTGTAGACGTACATCTCGTGAGGACATAGGGCAGGTTTCTCCAGCCTGTAGCCGTCGGGCAACAGTTTCATGAGCTCTTTGCCGGTCATCCGACCGTACGGCTTCTTTCCTGGAAGATAATTTAGTATATCACGATTAATCACAAAATTGTATTTACATATGTACCTACATGTATATGGAGGCATTTGGACAAGATGCATACATTTAAATCTTCATTCGAAGAAGTATGTATTACATGCTGAAATGCAATATCACATTTCTTAGGTGATGATGCAAGAGATTTTGACATGATAACGTTGTGCCAAATACATATTTCCACTGCTTAAGGAGAGCATTAAATATACACGGCACGTGTCGTTTGTACTTACCCATTGTCATGATCTCCCACAGAAGGACTCCAAAGGACCATCTGAAATATGGAAAAAACAACACATAATTTTTATACATTCTTATGTAACTTCATTCTATATACATGTATAACCTCAAATATGAAATTTTGATTGTTAAAATGCTTGCCAATTTTAATGATAGTCACTCAAAATTTATGTTGATTATATAAATATATATAAATGTACGTAGATGTATAAAAGTGTCAACAAAATATACATACACATCACTCTGTGTGGTGTACGTGTGGTAGAAAAGGGACTCGTATGCCATCCAACGGACGGGAAGCTGGCTCTGGAGAAAGGAATACGATCAGATACAAACATGGTAGATGCTTTACATTTGCAAACGACTGTTTCATGGCACCATCATTTTTAAAGTTTTAAAGGATATGAGATGACGGAGATATGATACCTTGGTGCTCTTGACGTACTCAGTCTCCTCGTAGATGTCCCGTGACAGACCAAAGTCGGAGATCTTGGCCGTCAGATACTTCCCAAGGAGCACGTTCCTGGCGGCAAGGTCACGGTGTACACACTAAATGGACAAACGGTTATATTGTCATACCATACATGTAGATATGTAACCCGTGACAGAAATCAGGTAAATCATAAAAATATGACATTTCTGGAATCACATTAATCATTTAGAACTACTATTCAGGTTATACTATGGAGGTTGATGGACAGTCTTATTGTGATGCATTTTTCAAACAAAATGACTTATCTTAGTCGCCTGTTCATGTTTTACGTTTCCCATTTCAACATATCTGTCATTGCTTGTGTCCTCTGCCCCCTTCAACATTACTTGCATGAGAACCTATACTAGTTGTGATCACAGCGCCATTTGATATGAGAATGTAGCTATGTGTCTATGGACACGGCTAGATATGAGTGCAGTTTAAGACCTGGTCAGATTCTAATGCATTTGTATCCACAAAAAAGTTGCTTGGTAATAGAAGATGTAATGAAAACCAGCACATTGCAACCATTACCCTTCGACACAGAGACGTGATTTTATGTACCTGCATGGCAGCCAGATGACTCATCCCATTCGCGATGTCAATACCGAACAGAATGAGCTGGTCCATCGGCAGCTGAACCCCGGAGGTGGGGATGTTTTTGTCGTCTGTCTGGTCCAGCCCCTCAGGACGGTTCTCCTTCAGCCAGTCCTTCAGACAGCCGTTTGGTGCGTACTCAACCACAAGTATCAGTGGACCTAACGTGGAGTAAAGGATTGATTGATAGATTGTTAAAGGCGCGGTCACATTTCCCAACCCGGGGCCCGGCCGGGGAGTCGTATGGAACGAAAATTATTATATAAGACAGCAAAACACAAAAAAAAGTTTTAGAAAATTAACCATGGGCACTATTTGTGTATAGTCTTTATACAAATTGTTCATTTTTCGTTCACGCAAACAACCCGGCCGGGCCCCGGCTTGGAAATTTGACCTTGCCTTAATCTGACAGACACTGTCTGACATTTTACATAAATGAACAAGATTATTCTTTGTCCAAGACAAATGATAATACAGAAATAGTGATATCATAGCGTTACATTTCCCTTGTTGTAATTACCTTCTACTGTGCATGCGCCAACCAGACTGATGATGTTGTCATGACGACCGACAGTGACCAGAATATCCAGCTCCCCCAACAGATCCTCTTTGTCTCGGTCTTCGGCAGATGCTGGAAAATGAAGATTGTTAAAAGAAGGATACCACTAATAAAGTCATTATCTTACTAGTACTTGTAACAAGAAAAACAGATTGTCAAGCGTTTCATGTATAGTTCACTTTACTTGATATATTTTAATATGATGGGCTATTGATAATAGAATTTGGCAAGGTAACATGCCTAGCCTGCTTTGGTATGTTGAAGGACATGTGTTTATATGCACGTTAAGGACATGTGTTCATTATAGGTAAGGAATGAAAGGCACCTTTCAGTGTCTTGACTGCCACAGTCTGGGTGACGCCTCTCTTCCTCAGCTCCCCCATACGGACCTCTCCAAACTGTCCCTTCCCCAGGACTTTACCGAGCGTCAGACTGGACCGGGGGATTTCCCAGTCAGCGTGGGCAGGTTTGCTGCCTTCTGTGGAGTCCTAGGAATTGAGGATGATATAATTACATCCGGCTAAAGGCCATTAACAGCTGTAGAACACCGTTGATGACCTCATCAAAAAAGTACGTACATGTAGATGTTGTATTACGGATATACTACATGGAAACCCATTCGTCTGTCCGGAATACAAATCTATTTAAATAGCAGTTGGTGTTGGGGGTCGGTGGCAGGTTGTAGGCAAACTCTAAGCGTGGTTTTTCCTTCAGTTATTCTTTGGATTGTATTGCATTGTGGCCATGCGTAACATCCTGACATTTGTTTTGAAATCATTCACTACTATATGCAGCAGTAGAGCTCATGGCATCACAGACTTAACTTGAAAAGGGTTAATGAAAAAAGATATATTCTTGGGTAATCGATGAGAGAAAATAAGAGACAAACCGAGTTGTCCTTCAGCTCCTGCAGTGCTTTTTGAAGTTTGACCCTCGGTCCGATCTCAGGAATGAGCTCAGCAAGCACAGCGTCGCTCAGATTCGAGACAGCATCTCCGTCTATTTCGTGTCCTGAAAAATAGACACCACATCAACAGGGAATCTAGCAAAATTTTGAGAAGCAGTAAAACCTCATTGTATCCAAATGGACAGTTTAGATGTCATCTTTCCTTCGAATCCGAATTGATGCAAGGTTACCAGCAGCGGAAGGATCACAACTAACACTCTATTATCGAATGAAAAAGGAAAGGATGAGAAAACGGAACTTACGCCTAAATGCTGCAGCGTACCGCCCAAAACCACTGGACCTCAGGAATTCCACTACGTCGTCCACAGTGACAAGGTCTTGGAGGCGGTAAATGGTCTGTTGTAGACAGTAGTAAAATAAGTCATGATCAATAGTGGTGAGTATAAGGCTGTTTCTAACACCTAGTAGTAGTGTAATGGCAATGCGGCATCGCTTAATGTTCACGTTTCTGCACAACAACTGCATATGATATACATTCCAACCAAACGTCTCGATCACAAAAAAATGCATCATCATGAACATTTATCTACGTTAGATAGATATTCGCTTGTAATTGGTAAGATGCACGCAATGCAATGGTAACGCAAGTTACAATCTTTTAAGAAGTGACTATATGATTGTATAGTTACCGTTTCGTAAAGATAACTGTCTTCATCCAACGTCTTACATGCAGGATTCTCAGCTGACTCCGTGGCGGAGGGCTCGTCTCCTTTGATTATCTTCAGATCTAGTTGAAGACCTGGAGGATGCTGATCGTCTCTGGACCTTCTTTTCCTGGAACATATCAAGAGTTACAGTAGTCGTTGCACAAAGCGAGTACTTAATAAGGACACATCAATAGATGATGTGAATAGAGGCATTACTTACCTGTAACATATGATGCCTACTGTCACCAGAACAACAACCAGTAGGGCAGCCGCACAGCCAGCGATGATGGGGACAAGAGGAACAGTTTCGTCTACGAGGGAATGATAGTCACATATAATATGTAATATCAAGCATTTACGTTGGGAAAATAATACACCACTATTGCATTGTTACTAACAACGCAGTTAGAGAGTTGTCATAAACAATTATAGTCCATTACTTGACAATCTCTTGACAATCAGGGAATTAAACCATCGGGTACAATGCATTGTATATTTTCAGAGACTATTTTTGGCCCCACCTTTGCACGCGAAGATAATAAAGGCTATTTTAAATATTCAATAATTCAAAAAGGAAAACAATTCATATTTACAGATATATTAAATATATCTATAATTCATACGAATTACCTTGGTTGTCCATTTCTGTTATAACAGGTTCAATGTACCCACTTGTCGTGAATAACTGAAAATGGAAACTTTCTAAATGAATAGAAAATATAAGGCATATGAACCGTGAAGTAAGATATGTTCAAATATAATTGCTGGATACAGCAATAGGAATTTTAAACAATTTTACACATTGGCAATAAAAAGAATCATTGGTACTCCAAAGTTGACCAAATGTACACGTTCAGCTATGGTATACATACCCTTTCTGTGTTCCGCTTGCGTCTCTTGGCTCCAGAGTCCACGTAACATCGTACTGCTGCTGTGTACTTGCTCCCTGACTGGAGCTTCTTATTGCCGGGAGTCTTTGCGCGACTGGGATCGGCGAGTTCACTCCGCTCACAGCACCACGCGTAACTACAGGGTCCACCGTCGCCGATCTGAACTTCATCGGTTCTTTTGTAGTCATCTCTGGTGGAAGAATGTACAGAGAAATGGGCCATCAATACGCTTTGTACGATTATACTAGCATCCTATGGAATGCTTTGTCAATTCTGATATGTTCGAGTGATTGCAAAGTACTCTACAATGCATTATGAATCTAGGAAACAAGCTCACCTTGAAAGTGACAAAGCCACGTAAGGTTCAGTTTTCCCGTCCTCAGGAGCGTCCTCTGTAAGCATGACGTCTGGTTCTCCAACTCTTATTTTCAGGTCAGCAAGGCTCTCGGTTTTAGTCATTGTGATGACGATGACTTGGCAACAACTGCAGATAATTAAAAGGTAAAATGCTTGCAAAAACATTGGCCTTGTCCAAATGCATTGATAAGGAACGGAAAGACAAATTATACAATGTGTATAAACGCCAACTGTTCTCCGTGATAACGAATGAATGTTAGACACACGTACCGTACTAGACCATTCCTCTCGCTCACCCTCGGAAGGACCATGGGAAAAGATGTTGGCGAAGGGCTCGGGGGTGGGCCGGTAGGGAGTACTGGAGGCGGCGGTGGTTCTAAATGATAAATGAATAGCGTTACTTTAATATTGTGTCGTTTTCTACTACCTAAGTGATCATACGACCATCTGTCATGGAAACAGAAGTGCAAGTTGAGTTGCATATTGATTGTTTTCAGACTATAAGTAGTAATATGACCAATTCTCACCAACTCTTGAGACCCGACAAGTGACCTCCTCCCCCTTGTCTCCCTCGGCACAGGTTACCGCCCGGACCGTGACTCGGACCAAGGAGTTGGCGGGAAGCTCAGCCAGTGACTTGGACCACTGTTGTTCATCCAAACCCAACGGGTCACGTCTGATGCGTGGTTCAGACTCGTCCGAGTTATGAAGTGGCGTGTCAACATATATAACCTGTGCGGAATAAGTCATAGCTAGTTAACAATTAGTCTAGCTATAGTGTATATCACATCTTTCAAGAACAATATGGTATTGAAGGATGAAAATGTCATCACCAAACGCGAGTGCTTCTGAATCATGTTAATGCCACAATGACTGTACCTACATTGTACCCTGACAGTCTCCCTCTGGTAACTGTAGGAGCTGTCCAGATTACTCCACATTCACTGTTTGCCAGTCTTGTCACAGTCGGGGCATCTGGGCCTAAAGATTAAGAGATACTATTGATGCTTGTCACCATAATAATTCCAATGCGTACAAATGACGAGCAAACTGCTGTGCTAATGAACATGACTACTACGCTGATTTAAAAACCTTTACTTACATCCGTCGCTCGTACGGGCCATATATGGATGGCTCTCGTTCCCACGGTATAAGGTGTTAATGGCTGATATCTGTAAAGAGATGGGTGATGTTTTTCACATTACATCATAAGTAGCCTATTCCTTCAACTCATCAATGCTCGGAATGCATAATTACAGATTCAATCACTGAACAACTTGGCTAGACACCCATGTACAGAAAACATTTGATGGTGCACAAGATCACAGTAACAGTTCAGACTCACAGTGACAGAGTAGTTGTTGGCAGGCTGCAGGAGTGACGATGTGACCACAGCTGTCAGGTTCTCCTGCTGCAGTCCTGACGTCATGTTCTCCTGGTAGAACGGTTTCCCGCCGGTCCTGTTGTACAGGCTGATTCGATACGCCTGCAGCTGACCGTGGATGTGGTCAGGGCGCCGCCAGGCTACACGCAGCTGGACCGGCCGGGGGAGGTTTGGCGTCTGACAGTTACAGTCGTGCTGGTCTGCAAACGTCTGGACAACTGGGGCTGTAGGGTCTGGGAGTCATGGGTGGATAAGAATGTAGATTTTTGTGGACTCTAATCGTATGTTGACAATCACTCACAGTAAGGTATACTAAAACCCACACTGCACTGAAATGCCTTCCATGCTAACACTCTAGTCTCGTCAACATGCTGAAGAGGCCATTTAGTACAGTGCAGTACTCACAATATTCCAGTGTCCTTGTGCTGTTACAGCCGCTGAAGTTTCCTCCTCCTGCACTTGTCGCCCCCCGCACCCGGAATGTGTAGTTCGTGTACGGAACCAGGTCTCCGATAACGGTAGTGGTGCTGCCGTCAGACGTGGTAACTTGATGGGGAAACTCAGCCTCACTGCACGACTCGGACGGTCCGTATTGAACTGCGTAGTTGGTGATCTCACCGTTGGGTTCCATCGGAGGTTCCCACGTCAGGTGGACAGAGTTGTGGGAGGTTGGTGCGGCTTGCAAGTTGTGAGGAGGACCAGGAGCTGTTAAAATGAAGCATATAGAGTAGGTAAACCTAACTGCATTTCAAGATTGCACTGTTGAACGGTAATCTTGAAAGAGCTACAGAAGCTCCACAAAGAACTGGCGAAGAATGACAAAACCTCTTACGTGCTTCATCTGTAGTTCCCGTCCCATTGCCAGGAGTGCTCCATCCCAGGGAGTTGTTTGCCCGCACTTCAACATCATACTCGACGGCCGGTTCTAAGCCGTAGATGTACACCTCGCCGTTCACATCGGAAACTCCAGTTGACGCCCAGTCTGCCCAGTCCTCCGTGCCGCTCCGTTTGTAGCGTTCTTGGGAGTCGATGATGTCGAGGTTACCGGTTACTCCTACTGCCCACGTGACGTGTAAGGCTGTGGAGTTTACTGCTGTGACGTTCACTGTCACGTCATCAGGACGTTCTGCAAAATTAATAGACAGCAGGAAACTGTTGGTCTTTGTACACAAGTCAGTTACAGCCAAGGAATAGTAGACGAAAGCATGCATATTCATTCAATTTGAAGACTTTCATCACTGTGCAAGATTCTCCCACAAAACAGGTGTAACGTTAACAGTTTCCGTACCTTGCACGACAAGTGTAGCTGCTTGTGACTTGCTGCTCCCCGCCACGTTAGACAAGATACAGACGTACTGTCCGTTATCTTGTCGACGTGCTGACGTAATGGTTAAGGTGCTGTTTGTCACATTCTGTTCTCCCACCAGACCTCCGTCTGTAACGTCTACACTGATCCCGGCTCCGGGTGTGATGACTTCGGCACCGTGATGCCAGGTGACGGTAGGGGCGGGAACACCGCGACCGGTGCAGTTGAACGTTACTTCAATATTAGCAACTACTGTGACGTTTTCTGGATGGTCTGATATTGTCGCCAGTACTGGATAAATATAAACACCAGTCACTTGTCTATATGAAAGCAAGCACTCCGAATCCTTACGATCTCACTGTAACTTTTGCAAACGTTATCTTTCAGCTGTAGAGTTTTGTGCAATCTTTTTCCTGTTATTAACGGGCAACTGATTGGTTTAAACTTCAGTGAACATAGTGCATACTACAAGTATACAGTAACGTGACATGTTTTAGATATATGCCTACTTACTCATTTTACAGGTGTTTCCAACCCAAGGTTCCTCACATGGACAGGTGCCGTTGGTTTTCTCACAGACTGTCCCTGCCACACAGTTTCCACAACTTTCTCTGCACTCATAGCCGTAATAACCGTCAGGACATTCTACAGGACGAAATGTTCAAGAATGAATCTAATATGTAAACAAATCAGATCAAGATTTGAGTTCTTATCTTAAAATGTCAATCATAACTAAACTTACCTACATATACAAATCATAACAGCCTTTCATTCCCTTCTTGAGTTTTAATTTTCTAAAGTCTCATAAGAAATGGGCCTCTCCAGTTCCAGTATAGGCTGCTTGGGGTTCTAAACCTGTACCACTTCTTCATGAGGCCAACAGCTACCTCTGACCAAAAACATGGCCCCAGCAAGTCCAATGTATCCAAAAGGCCGTGATATAGAGTATCACAGTGTATAAAAAGTTGGCCTACCCTGGTCACAAAAGGCGCCATGCCATCCATCCGCACATGCGCAGATGTACAGTCCGGAATCTTCCGGTCCTGATGTCAGGGTCCCGTCATTCTGGCAAGGTTTGAATGATGACGCTGTGGAAAGGTAGCAGCATAATTCATTAGCTACCATGCTGTTTCAAATTCAATAGATATTACTTGATACAAACTATGTTCATTTTCTTTTTTCTCAGTAGACCTTTCATGCCATCAAATCTAAACAGCTGTCTCAATGCCCACAGCAGAGGTAAAGCAAGCAAGGGATCACGAATTTAAAGAACTTTCTTTGCCAACTTTAGACTACATTGTGTATTTCAATTGAACAATTCAATTCATATGAAAAAAAACTTAACTACCAAGAAAAAACATACCAGGAAAATCATCGGGCCGGACCATCATGACTGATTTCTTCAAGGAATATTTGTGACCCAACCAAGTGTTCCAGACGATTCCATCTGCATGCGAGCAGGAGGGTGGGGCAGGTACTGAACAACCGGTCAGATACTGTCCGTTCAACAAGGCGTAACCACAACTTGGAGTGTACCACCAGCCTCCTTGTCCGAATGTACCCGCACAGTCAGTACTGACACCGTCGTTATCCTGGTCAGTTGTAGAAAATTGTATATTGTTGATGCTGTGACGTGAATTGGAATTGTACAAACTATCACCAGCATCATCCCCGCTGTACCCGCCGATCGTTGCCGTGTACTTGCTGCTGGCATCTCCTACAGAAAACATGCTGTACCGCGCAAACCGGCTGTTCGTTTCCCAGTCTTCCAAGTACACGTACAGTTCGTTTTGTTTCTGTGTTGTCAGACTGTGGATGTTGCCCAATCCCAGCCAGTATTCTCCGATGAGATTGCCGAAGCCCTGCTCGTACTCAGTCCAAGTCTTGTCAAACTGCACCGTCCCGTCCTGGCGCCGCTGTATGACCGTCCATCCTCCGAAATCAGTGTCCATGTCACAGTAGGTTTGGAATGTTTTGGGGTGACCCACAGCATAAACATGACTGTACTGAAGCCCAAGGGCGAACGTGTCAGTACAGTCTTGGGGGGCCTGAATGCCTGCAAAGTTTAGTGTAAACAATAGATATGAAGAATGCCATGATTTAAATCAAGATTTGCAAATTAATGCTATTTAATCATTGTGACGTCGAAACAATATCTATACTCTTAATTGGAAAAATTACAAGTGATATTGTAAAAGCATAAAGTATCGCAACAAAGAAGTTGAACTGTACACTTTTAATGACGTTCTATATTCATAGCCCTTGGAATTGTCAAACATTCATAGTTACGTTTCCGTTGGTAGTAATTTCGATGAGGCCAACTTTCCCACTCCGGACCAGGAGACGCCGCCCTGTCCTTGTCAGAACTGCGGAGCCAACACCGTGCACTGCCGCCCTCTGGCGACCCCGCGTGGCGATGGTTGAAGGACAGACATGGCGGGTTGACGCCGTCGTAACTGCCGTAACCTTGCAGACAGCGGCGGGCACACTCCTCGGCGTCTATGTTGTTGTACGCTGTTATGTTGTTAAGAGAATCTCCGAAGAAGCGACCTTCCTCCTTGGTAAAGAGATCCTCATACGAGACAGTCGCTAAAGTAGAAACGATAGAACATTCTTAAGCAACAAGAACTTGCAAGCAATAATGTTGATTGCAAGGTCTGCGAATGTACAATGTAGCCAAGAACGTTTTTACAACCTATTCCAGATACAAGGGCAACAAATGTCAGTGCAGTACCTGTGCGGTTTTGACATGATTCTCCAGTCCAGAAGTCCACACATCCCCCAATACAGAATCCGGTCTTTTTGTCACATGCAGCTGGTCCGTTTGCACAGTGACAGGTTTGGGTGCAGCCGGTTCCGTACATGCCATCTGGGCACTCTGAAGTATAATAGTGGGCAAATTATACAAAATCATCAAATAGATCAGAACACCGGCATTAGGTAAATATAGCATAACCTGTTCACAGTATGCATTGTACCACACACACATGTCTGAATGTCATAGCATAACTGCTAAACAACAATAATAATACTAAACCATACATACCCTGTTCACAAAACGGTCCAATCCACCCTGTCGTACATGCGCAGATGTAGACTCCTGACTCTACAGGTCCTGATATGAGAGTTCCACCATTCTGACACGGCCTGAATGATGAGACTGAAAAACACAAACCTAATCAGAATACAATGGCAGGCAAGTCCACTTTTATAAAGTAGTCTCCCTCTTGTTAACTCAGTTCAGTTTTTACCTATCACCTCTGCTTCTTTGTTTCGCAAAGGTAATATTTGATTCATGAAGCTCAAACATAGCTTATTCATGAAGCTTAAACATTTGAACACGAACCTGAAAAATTGGCGTGCCTGATCATCATGACTGTTTTCTTCAAGGAATACAGGTAACCCAACCAACTGTGCCAGACGATTCCATTTGCACGCGAGCAGGAAGCTGTAGGTACTGAACAGCCGGTCAGATACTGCCCGTTCAACAAAGTGTAACCACAACTTTCAGCGTACCACCAGCCTCCTTGTCCGAATCTACCCGCACAGTCAGTACTGACACCGTCATTATCCTGATCTATTGTAGAAAATTGTCTGTTGTTGATGCTGTGACGTGTAGTGGACGGGTCCAAACTATCAGTAACACTGGAGTCCCTGCTGTACCCGTCGATCGTTGCCGTGTACTTGCTGCCGGCATTTCCTACAGAAAACGTGCTGTACCGCGCAAACTGGCTGTTCGTTTCCCAGTCTTCCAAGTACACGTACAGTTCGTTTTGTTTCTGTGTTGTCAGACTGTGGATGTTCCCCAATCCCAGCCAGTATTCTCCACTAGGACTGCCGAAGCCCTGCTCGTACTCAGTCCAAGTTCTATCAAACCTCACGGACCCGTCCTGGCGCCGCTGTATGACCGTCCACCCGCCGCCATCAGTGTCCATGTCACAGTAGGCCTGGAATGGTTGTGGGTGGCCAACAGCATAAACGTGACTGTACTGAATCCCAAGGGCGAACATATCAGAACAATCTCGGGGAGCCACGATGTCTGCAAACAATGGACAATAAGGATGATTTGACTCATTGTAAAAATAATGACATATACGAAAAATTAATAATATCTATTCAACAAAAGCATACCAGGTATGAAACGAACAACTTTAAGTACAGTTTTACCTTTGCCAAGAAATTTATGCTTTCAGAGACGTTCGTGTGTGTGTCTGTGTATCTGTGTGTGTGTAAACAAGATAACTTGAGAATGCTTAAGTGGATTGTCTTGAAAGAAGAAAGTGTAACAGGTCAAGGTAACAATAGCTTTAGAGAATAAAATATTGACTTCCTCATTTTACAAAGCATAGCCATAGTCCACATACGTTTCCGTTGGTAGTAATTTCGGTAAGGCCAACTGTCCCACTCCGGACCAGGAGACGCCGATGTGTTCTTGTCACTTATCCGGAGCCAACACCGTGCACTGCCGCCCTCTGGTGACCCCGCGGGGCGATGGTTGAAGGACAGACATGTCGGATTGACGCCGTCGTAACTGTCGTAACCTTGCAGACAGCGGCGGGCACACTCCTCGGCGTCTATGTCGTTGTACGCTGTTATTAGGTTAGCAGAATCTCCGAAGAAGCGACCTTCCTCTTTGGTAAAGAGATCCTCATACGAGACAGTCGCTAAATCAGAAAGTTTAGGACATTCTATAATCAACATAACATGTGAAAGAAAGTTATTTTAAATTTAATGAAAGACAAATTTTTTTTGTAACGAACCACCATATGTGCGCCTGTATTTTATCCTTAAATCAACAATGTTAATTCAGCACCTGTACGGATCTGACACGAGTCTCCAGTCCAGAAATCAAGACATCCATCCCCCATACAGAACCCAGTTTTCTTGTCACAGGCAGCTGGTCCGTTTGCACAGTTACAGGTTTGGGTACAGTCAGGTCCGTACATGCCGTCTGGGCACTCTGAAATGGGCAGCAGACTCACATCAGTAACGTAAGTCTAGAAAAGTAAGAGCTATTGACTGGTGCCGATAAAGTGAGGTCCCAACTTATCGTGCGTACACGTTAGCGTTACAAGGAAACCACATTCCGTAGGACACAATCTTCGGTGAAGTACAGTAATTAAGGCTGTGGCTCTAGTTAACTACCAGGCTGAGCCTACCAAATTTCAGAGAAATCCATGAAAATGATTTTGATTTATAGGTGCAAGACACAGACACAGATAAAAACAAGTTGTTCAGAGTATGGAAGTCTCATCTTAGCAAATAAGGCCATTGTAGTATTTGCTCATAAATCATGTAAATGAGATTTAGACCCAGCTAATGGCGCTTTCACCGCGCTCCAACCAATTCCAGGTCACAGAGAGAGCGCGTTGAGAACGCCGTCCTGGTGGAATGGGGGCCATGGGAACATGATTCAAATACTATTCATTATTTACGGCAAATTGAACAAATCGTTTCGCATATCTGAATTATATAAATACCTGTCTGACAGTTGTTTCCCTTCCACCCGGCCTCACACCCTCCACTAGAGCAGATTCCAGTCCGGATGTTACACACGGAATCTCCGCTCGCACAGTGACAGGTGCCGGTACAGTCGGGTCCGAACTCACCCTGCATACAGACTGTAACGGGAAAATGGTTTGAGCCTATGCCTTTATGCAACACGGAAATACGCAAAATCCTTAATCACATTGTTACCATCAAATCATACATACCTTGTTCACAAAATGGCCCGTTCCATCCCGGCGCACATGCGCAGACATATAGTCCTGACTGTACAGGCCCCGATGTGAGATTTCCACCATTCTGACATGGTTTGAACGGCGAGGCTGTAGAAAAAGTGGTAGATTGATTGAAAGACACTTGACGTTTTGATCATGTCCTATTCCTCAAACAATTGATGACACCTGTCTGTACAAACACCACGTCTTGTGATTACATGTTGGAATACAAAAAAAAAACTCTATTTTGTCTTATCATCACCCTTCCCGGCACGGCTACTTTCCGTGCCATGACTGGGGTCTATAAGCTTGCCAAGAGAATGGCGAAAGCAGAATTTTTGAAGGCAGAGAGGCAAACAGGACATAAAACACTTGGAGAGTTCCTAGAACAGTAATTATTTTCAACCGTACCTGAAAAGTTGCTTGGCCTGATCATCATGACCGTTTTCTTCAAGGAATATCGGTAACCCCTCCAAGTATACCAGACGATTCCATCTGCACTACGGCAGGAACCTGGAGCAGGTAGTGAACAACCGGTCAGATACTGTCCGTTCAACAAGGCCTGGCTACAAGTTGGACTGTACCACCAGCCTCCTTGTCCGAATGTACCCGCACAGTCAGTACTGATACCGTCGTTATCCTGGTCTGTTGTTGAAAACCTTCTGTTGTTGATGCTGTGACGTGTATTGGACGGGTCCAAACTATCAGTCGCATCCCCACTGTACCCGTCGATCGTTGCCGTGTACTTGCTGCTGGCATCTCCTACAGAAAACATGCTGTACCGCGCAAACCGGCTGTTCGTTTCCCAGTCTTCCAAGTACACGTACAGTTCGTTTGGTTTCTGTGTTGTCAGACTGTGGATGTTCCCCAATCCCAGCCAGTATTCTCCACTAGCATTGCCGAAGCCCCGCTCGTACTCAGCCCAAGTCCTGTCAAACGGCACGGACCCGTCCTGACGGCGCTGTATGACCGTCCATCCACCGCCGTCAGTGTTCATGTCACAGTAGGCCTGGAATGGCTGGGGATGTCCGATGGAGTAAACCTGACTGGCTTGTAGTCCAAGGGCAAATATGTCAACACAATCTTGTGGCATCAGAACGTCTAACAGGATGTCTGAAAACAATATACAGTAAAAATGTACGTCTACACGGACGATTAATCTTTTTTTTATCATTTCAACACACATGGTAGAAGTTACCCTACATGTATATCAAAGATCTAATGTATTATACCGTGGCCGACACGGATAACCGTCAACATTGCTGCAACTTTTAGTTTCTCAACACCGCAACTTTTGGTGTCCCAACACTGCAACTTTTCGTGTTTGAACACCACAACTTCTGGTGTCTCAACACCGCAACTTTTGGTGTCTCAACACTGCAACGTTTGATGTTTCAACATCGCAACTTTTGCTGTGTGGAAAGCTTACACCAGAGGCTGCGGTGTTGGGACACCAAAAGTTGCGGTGTTAACATTTGTCCGTGTGGGCCACGGTAGTATTGCATCTAACTAAATGGTACATAAAACACGAAAATTGATATGTTTACACAGGACCTCTTTACTACTTTAAACTCTACAGTCTGGAAGACTTTGAAGCAGTTGAAATTTGATATTTACCAGCTATCCTCTGGTAGTAATTTCGATGAGGCCAACTTTCCCACTCCGGACCAGGAGACGCCGCCGTGTCCTTGTCACTACTCCGGAGCCAACACCGTGCACTGCCGCCTTCTGGCGACCCCGCGGGGCGATGGTTGAAGGACAGACATGTCGGGTTGACGCCGTCGTAACTGCCGTAACCTTGCAGACAGCGGCGGGCACACTCCTCGGCGTCTATGTCGTTGTAATCTGCTATGTTGTCAGAAGATGCACCGAAGAAGCGACCTTCCTCCTTGGTGAAGAGATCCTCATACGAGACAGTCGCTAAAGTAGAAATGTTAGGACATTCTATAACCAACAGAAATTGAAACACGCTTATAGCCATGGAAGAGTTCCACGACCTTCGCCAAATAATCTTAAAACCTTTAAGGATGACGTCTTATGAAGTTTTTTCATTGAGGTTCTTCCCTACCCAAATATCACAAGTTGTCAAAAGATAGAAAGTCTTATCTTAACAAAAATGGATGTTGTAGGCTTTTCGAGTTAAATTCTTCTCAGGTTCCTGACGGGCCTAAAAATAGCCCGGTAACCACAGGGTGTCCCGCGGAACCACGTAGGTGTCACGCCCGAAAGTGCCAAAAACAGCCCGGGAACTACCCGCCAGGGCGTCTTTTTTCCAATTGAGACCAAAGCTTAAGTGGAATGAGGGTATAAGCTACCTGCATACCAATAAAACGCGGCAGTCCGTCAATCTCTCCTCGAGTTAATATGGGCTCCAACTCCGAAACAAATTGCCCCCCTCCCCCAGTTATAAAACAAGCTGCTAGGGGACCCGAAGCTAAACCAATCTTTCACAAGGTCAAGAGCTATTTACCACTTACAATGTCTAGAACTCGAGATATCTAAACCAGTTCTGCTGCAGTCCTAATAAAAGGTGGTCTAAAATCTAATAATTTCTACGATAGGCCAAGAACTACTAATTAACCAAATGTCATGATAATCCATCCATAGCTTCTTGAGTTGTCCATAGTTGTCCACATGACAAACAAATAATCGCTACCAAAACATAACCTTCAAGGTGAAGGTTAACTTCTAATATAACCTTGAATGATATGTATCCAACAATAGTAATATCTATAGAATCGGTCGATAGAAGTAAGAGTTACACCATGGGCTTTCGAGGCAACGAGGTTTCTGTGTATATCTCTAGATTTCTAGTCTCCCCGAGGGCGAAGTGTGGCGGGACACGAGATATACACAGAAACCTCGCTCCGCCCATGGGGTAACTCTTACTTCTATCGACCGATTCTATAGATATATATTGTTGGATAGATATCATTCAAAGTTATATTACAAGTCTTTGGTAGCGACTATTTGTTTGTCATGTGGACAACTATGGACAACTCAAGAAGCTATGGATGGATTAACATGACATTTGTTTTTTTTTTATCCCATAGGCCACTACCCCGAAGCGTTTCCACTTCTTATGATGTAGCTATTCATTTTTTTCAGTCTACAGTTGTTGTTATTTACCCTAAACAGAGAGAGTAGAAATGTCACCGGAGAGATTCTACTTGAGCAGGTTTTTCGTGGAGTTTGGCGCTCTCTCCGCGCTCTGGCAAATTCCATGGATCAGGTCGCAGAGAGAATGCGGTGAGAGCGCCGCTATAGAAGTGGAATGGGGTTATGAAAATGTGAAAACTGCACTAACCTGTTACAGTCGGCGTTAGGCAAAGAAGAACGAAGACAATCCGCAGCCAGCGGCGCACCTGGGCTTCCCGGACGGTCTCCATTCCAGTTAAATGTACGGTACTCGAATCCAAACCTTTAATGTGCTGATGCCGTGCATAGTACATGTACAGCGAGTGGCACCGAGCGGTACCGTTTCCTGGTCTTTTTTTTGTTCCTGTTCTCCAAGTAAACAACTATGCAGACTGTGGAGACTTTTCTAAAGCTGCTTCCCTGTGCGTCATGAGAAAATGCCTGTGTTTCTGTTCAGTCGGTGCTGTTGGCGTTATCTTACACTTGTATAATGTCATGCATGCACGGAGGCATTCTTTTCATTCAGTGAACCTAACAGGGGTCAGAGTTTACAACCCACCAAAATATATCGCTGTAAGATGTGACGAAAAGGCTTCATTTGACAACTACAAACTTCTGTTCCTATATGAGAAAGTAAAAAAAAGTAAAATCCATATCATCACATTTTCCTTACCAATAGCACTTATGAATGTAGCTGTTTGTTTATTACTAGTGTGAAATACCTCATTTGACAAACAGATGTATTAATATCTTTTTCTTTGGCCTTGGTTGCTCAATTTGGAGAGCAATTTATTCACTCGCTCTCTGACTGAGGTAAAGTGAGAAGTACTTGTCAGCCGTATTGTTGTCCCTGGGCATGGGAATGGACGCCTGTTCGCACGCAAATGCATGAATAGCTCTGTCTCACGTTTGCAACAAAACATGTTTGTGTATAGTGTTACCATAGGAACAAAAACAAACTTTTCTCACATGTGGAGCTTTTTTCGTCCTCGTGTAGCCAGGTATTTCATGTTTTAGCTCAGCGGCAGGTTAGGATAGGGCGACACCAATTATTTTTTATGGATGGCGTCCGCACGCGCATTGATATTGATTTTGGCCTGTACCCTCAAAAAACTTCGAATCCCTCTTGTAACTATAACTGTCCACAACAGTGGGATAAGGGCGGGAAGATGTGAGTCGAAGGAAAAAATAGGACAGGACAACTGCTGTTTTACTGATTTATCGCTGTTTTCATGGGGAATAAAATACTTGTTGATTGTTCTCACATTCAATTTCTGTCCTAATATTTGTCATCCATTAGCATATTTAGAATCTAAGCATCTTGCTTTTTTCGGCCCTTCTTGTTTTTTTCGCGCTCTCGCATTAGATGTAGGGTCTCCAGAGGACGTCATCCATAAGAATTACTTGGTGTGGCCTCATGTCCAAAGTACGTCTCTGAGTCACCGCTGTTTTTGTCGCCCGTTCTGCATGACGTTTTACCAGTTATTTTGTTCCTCGTCCCTCTGTTTGCCTTCGCATGTCCGTGCCTTTCATGGTGTTGGCGGTCTGTAGACAGTCTCATATCTCAAGTTAGGGCTACAAAAACACTTCACTTAATGTCTAATGAACCAAACACCCGTGGGCTCTCGGTGTTTTGTTCGTAAGTTTTCCGTTGAGAAAACCTAATTATATTACAATTAAAAACATTGTAAGGAGGGTATCATGAAAGAAACATGAAAGTGTGTTGACATGATATTAAAGAGGTTAGCTTTCAACATTTTGTACTGTCCTTCTTGTACAGTAAGCATGTTAAGTCGTATCTTGGCTCTGTTAGTGTCTTCATTGTTGAAATTGAGAATCGAAGTAACAGATGGCGAGACGGTGCACCCTATAGAGTCTACAGGGCAAAAAAAATCCACCCCCCGGGACTCATAGCTGTCGAACTGCATTCTTGTCAACCTTGCCCTGTGGAGGAACTGTTTGCTGTCAACAGGGTCAAGCTGGTGTCTAGTTATTAATGCGTCAGCATGTCGTGAGCTCTGTGTGTGTACTAACTTCTGAAGGGAAATGAGTGTTGACAGGGAAGGTGAGGTGGGGAGGGGGGCGGTGTTGTCCCCAAACGTTGGCCACATTGAACTCGTCCTTACCCTTATGTGAAGTGAATTCGGACAATAAGACTGTTTTACAGCAAAGTTTTCTACAAAATTAAAGACCAGCTTGTTTTTCACTGTGCATGTTTGTCATCGGTTGACTGCAACTTGAACTCTAGCCAACCCCGAGTACATCGTCCACAAGATATCTCCATTACGTCCACAACTCTCGGAAGCAAGGCGTTTGCTGTGCTGTGTGGAAATATATGATGTTTTCCCACATGTACTTGCTGACTAACAGTTGCCACCCGTTTATTCTGTGACCTTGGTCTATTCACAGTAAACCAGTGGGACACACACAGTGTATAGTGTGAAATTACTAGGAAATGCTGCTTTGTTGCTCATTCGGGACGCTGTACAAATTTTAAGCTGGGGCAACGCAGGCAACATCAGTTACTCAGTTTACCTGCCGTGTTTTGGCGAACTTTCCCGAGTGCATTCAAACTCGTCCCAGCGAAATGCTCGGAAGCACCTGACCATATCAAGTTCATCAGCCAATGGGATGAGACCCTCCCTCATGACGTCACAAGGAAGTAAGTGCGGAAAATAAGCCAGTTCGTAGATCGGTACTAGAACTAGGCCGAGTTCTGGTCTAGTTAGGTCTTTAGAAACTGTTGAAGTAGTGTAGGTACTCAAGGAACATTAGGATTGTGTGTAGAGTGGATTGTACCACCTGTGTGTGCCATGGGAGTGCTCGGCGGGGCAGGAGTGAGACAGCGGCGGCGCGCACTGGGGGTGCTCGGCCTGGTCGTCTGCATGTCTACGGTAGTCGCGGGTGAGTTTGGCTGTCCTGTATGTTCACTATCAAGTATATAGCTAACTGTTCTAGGGAATTTGTACCGAATAAGTTTATTGTGGTGGCGTATTGTCTAACAAATTTCAAAATTAACTTGTTGAGGTGAAACATGCATGAGTGCTGGGGATTTTAACACTGCCAGGTACGTTACATGTAGGTGTAAGGTAACATATGAAATAGTTGTTACACTTTCCTCTGAAGGAATGTACCATTTTAATTGCGTTTCCTTGTTCCGTGATGTGCCCCGTGTTTCCTGGCTCAAGAGATTATAATTGGCAGCAAATCAACTTTAGAAAGGGAAGTTGTTTTAACACTAAAGGAATGTTTTCAGCAATACTGAATGATAAGCGCCACAATGGAAATATATATATATTCCGACTGTTGAAGTGAAATACCCGATACAAGTGCAGGTGTAGAAGGTTTGACTCCTATTCGGGACGGACTCGATTATTTAGGGTACACTTTCTGTTTGATATCTTTAAATTGCCAATTGACGGTTGTTTTATGGTATAATATTCATGCAGGTGTTTAAAGTTTTTTTCACAAAAATACACTGTGAAATGGGGACAGACAGAATACATTTTCTAGCAATGTATTTAAATAGGACTAAAGCGATACCTATGTGTATATGAAAGTTGAGAATGCAAGCGGGTAATTCTAGCAAGTCATGCAATTATGGTTCAACTTTGCTTCTTGGAGTTCTTAATACATTAAATGTACGTGACGCTTGAAGGGATATGTTTGTTATCCTTGTATTTGTTTTTGGCGACGCCTAATGGTATAGTATTGTGTGCAGTCTACAAGGATTCTAGGAATGTCCACGGCTATGTTATGTGTTTTAGCACGATAACTCAATAACCTATGGATGGATTTTAAGGAAACTCGGTAGGTTAGTAGGTCTTCTTCATATCTCAAAATGAGTAGACTTTGGGCTCCCTAGCAGGTTGTTAGTATGTTCACTATCAAGTAGAGGGCTGACTAGAAACTGTTCTAGGGACTTTGTACTGAATAAGTGTATTGTGATGGCCAACAAAACGTTCCAAAACTGACTTGTTAAGGTAGAACATGTTAGCGGGATGGGCATTTTAACACAGGTACGTTACATGCAGGTGTAGGGTAACATATGTAATAGTTGTTAGACTTCCCTCTGAAGGAATGTACCGTTTTAATTGCGTTTCCTTGTTCCGTCATGTGCTTCATGTTTCCTGGCTCAAGAGATAATAATTGGCAGAGAATAAACTTAGAAAGGGAAGTTGTTTTAACACAAAATGAACGTTTTCAGCAATACTATATGATAAGATAAGAGCCACAGTGGAAATACCGACTGTTGAAATGAAATGCCTGATACAACTGCAGGTGTAGAAGGTTTGACTCCAATTCGGGACGGGCTAAATTCTTTGCGGAAAACTTTCTGTTTGAATTCTTTAAATTGCCAATTGACGGTTGTTTTATGTATAATATCTATGCATGTGTTTAAAGGTTTTCACTTCCACTGTAAAAGGGGGGCAGACAGACTACATTTTCTAGCAATGTATTTTAAATAGGACTAAAGCGATACCTATGTGTATATGAAAGTTGATAATGCAACCTGGTAATTCTAGCAAGCCATGCAATTATGATTCAACTTTGCTTCTTGGAGTTCTTAATACATTAAATGTACGTGACGCTTGAAGAGATATGTTTGTTATCCTTGTATTTGTTTTTGGCGGCGCCCACTGATATAGTATTGTGTGCAGTCTACAAGAATTCTAGGAATGTCCACGGCTATGTTATGTGTTTTAGCACGATAACTCAATAACCTATGGATGGATTTTAAGGAAACTCGGTAGGTTAGTAGGTCTTCATGAGACCTCAAAATGAGTAGACTTTGGGCTCCCTAGCAGCTTGGTAGTATGTTCATATCAAGTAGAGGGCTGACTAGAAACTGTTCTAGGGACTTTGTACTGAATAAGTGCATCGTGGTGGCCAACAAAACGTTCCAAAATTGACTTGTTAAGGTAGAACATGTATGCGGGCTGGGCATTTTAACGCAAGTACGTTAACGTTACATGCAGGGTGTACGTAAGTCCTCTGAAGGAATGTACCGTTTTAATTGCGTTTCCTTGTTCCGTTATGTGCCTCGTGTCTCCTGTCTTAAGAGATTATAATTGGCAGCAAATCAACTTTAGAAAGGGAAGTTGTTGTAACACTAAAGGAATGTTTTCAGCAATACTGAATGATAAGAGCCACAGTGGAAATATAATTATATATTCCGACTGTTGAAGTGAAATGCCCGATACAAGTGCAGGTGTAGAAGGTTTGAATCCTATTCGGGACGGACTCGATTTTTTAGGGAACACTTTCTGTTTGAATTCTTTAAATTGCCAATTGACGGTTGTTTTATGGTATAATATTCATGCAGGTGTTTATAGGTATATAAGTGCATTGTGGTGGCCAACAAAACGTTCCAAAATTGACTTGTTAAGGTGAAACATGTATGCGGGCTGGGCATTTTAACACAGGTACGTTACATGCAGGTGTAAGGTAACATATGTAATAGGTGTTACACTTTCCTTTGAAGGAATGAACCGTTTTAATTGCGTTTCCTTGTTCCGTTATGTGCCTCGTGTTTCCTGGCTTAAGAGATTATAATTGGCAGCAAATCAACTTTAGAAAGGGAAGTTGTTTTAACACTAAAGGAATGTTTTCAGCAATACTATATGATAAGAGCCAGAGTAGAAATACCGACTGTTAAAGTGAAATGTCTGATACAACTGCAGGTGTAGAAGGGTTGACTCCTATACGGGACGGTGCGGCTCAGTCATTTAGGGAACAGTTTCTGTTTGAATTCGTTATAGCCAATTGGCGGTTGATTTATGATATCAAATACATTTAAATGTTTTCACAAAATATACTCTATAGAGAAGGGGCTGGGCCAATGGAGACTGCATGTTGTAGCAATGTCTTTTCATAGGATTATGACGATGGTTATGTGTACATGAAAGTTGGGAATGCAAACGGGTAATTTTAGCAACTCATGCAATTATGATTCGATTGTGCTTCTTGGAGTACTTTATACTAGTACATTAATGTACGTGACGCTTGAAGAGATATGTTTGCTATGCTTGTATTTGTTTATGACTTTACTCTTTGAGTGAGCAAAGTATCAACATCCACTCTAACGTCAATCTATATTGCCTCCACTCTCTATCTTTTGGTTTATTCGAATTGAAATCCCGGCTTTGGTTTGTTGTTGCATATTAATTAAACCCCTGGAACAACGTATTTGTCGATACTGTAATCTAGATAGAATAGAAGATGAACTTCATTTTGTAGTAGAATGTAGTTTGTGTAACAGTGAGAGAATTGAACTTTATAGACGAATAACATCGATGTTTCCCCACTTTACACACCTAAGTAATACAGACAAATTCACTTTTTTAATGAACTTAGACAAACCCTCGATCCTTAAACTTGTATGTTCTTATCTTTTCAACATCACAGAGAAGCGAAGAGAAGTCGAAATTATGTAACAAACTGTAGTGCTAGTACTAGATTGATCTTGTTGTGTATATATTTGTGTATTCAAGTTAACCTTTGTACCTAACCCAGTGGGTATGTTTGTACAATAAAGGTCTTCATTCATTCATTCATTAATCGAAAGGAGTAGGGGACCTTCCTGGTGTGAGTAGTTCAAACCTTACAGTCCGGCCTTACGCAGCTTGTGCGTACATGGCCACGTACAAAACTGGCGTGTTACGCCTGAAGGCGGTTTACCGGTTATGCGAAATAAACAAACAAGTAGCGTCTCAGTTTCTTGTACGGTTTCAAACTTCCTCCACGCCAGGGAAGTCACGTTCATGGGTTCCTATAACTTCTTTGTTGAGGTTCCTCTTTTACCGTCTTATGTGTAGAGCAGAAACAACAAATGACGTGCTATTTCTTTCTTGTTTGGCCATTGATACGGGCAACAAACTTGTTACAGAGGTAGTTTTGACGACAGCACCTAACTTACTTAGTTTCAGATTGCAAGTTTATGTTGTTTTACATCATACACAAGCAGAGTATCATGTGGACATATATAAATACAACTCATTGTATAAATATTTGTGATAACAGGTCCTTAAGAGAATGAAAATTATACCTAAACTTTTCTTAGGCTTAGATGACTATCATATCACTTAACGATACGTTTGGAAGTAGATGTTTGGTTGCATTTCCATCAGACGAAGTGACCATTCCCGCCAAGGTACATTATGTATGTTTCTACTCAAGCAACGTTGTTATTGTATAAACCTCATGATGGCGGTGTGCTAACATACAGTCTGTTAGTTGTTTGTGCTTCGTCTGGTGTACCACCGATGTAATTGCAGATACACACACAAAACTATAGCGCTTCATCATTTTTTTTATACTCCAACATTTCATGACTAGACATGGTGACAGCACACTCAAGTTATATCAACTTATTTTATGCCGTCACGAATGCAGAGGACGAATACATGAGAAGATAATAGTCATGAAAGTCGTGTAAAGTGCCTTTCCCAAGGGCACAAGATCAGTGACATGTCAGGACTCGAACCCGGGACCTCTTGGTTCCGAGTGGAGCACGCTGCCGCTACACCACACGACCGCACATTATATGTTGCTTTAGCGGGCATAAACCTCTCACCATTATTGTTAAGGTGGCTTTAGTTATACATTCATTTCTACCATCCCAACATTACAAATAACAGCGAGCAGATTATTATTGGAATGAGCAGAGCACTTTGGACTAATCTCTCTGGCTGTTCACAGCTTAGAGGTACATATCCAATATTTGGTCAAAAACATCTTTGTTCCATAGCGGATCATAATGACCCCCAGCGGGGGTCTTCATGCTTCGTTAAAAATGGAAAAATCTCAGGATTTATTTCAAAGATCTCAATATTTTAGACGAAATCTTGAGATCTTATGAGACAATCTCAAGATCTTTCAGAAAATCTTAAGATGAAAACGAAAGGTCTCAAGATCTTCCAAGATATTTTTAAACCATCTTGAGATTTTTCCATAGCATCTCGAGATGCTTTACAAAATATCAAGATTTTTTAAAAGATCTCATGATTTATAAAGTAATCTTGATATTTTCAAAGCATCTCGAGATGCTATGAAAAAATCTCAAGATGCTTTGAAAACAACTTGGAAAGATCTTAAGACCTTTCATTTTCATCTTAAGATTTTCTGAAAGATCTTGAGATTGTCATGAAAAATCTTAAGATTGTCTCATAAGATCTCAAGATTTCGTCTAAAATATTGAGATCTTTGAAATAAATCCTGAGATTTTTCCATTTTTAACGAAGCGTGAAGACCCCCGCTGGGGTTCATTATGATCCGCTATGGAATAGAGATGTTTTTGACAAAATATTGGATATGTACCTCTAAGCTGTGAACAGCCAGAGAGATTAGTCCAAAGTGCTCTGCTCATTCCAATAATAATCTGCTCGCTGTTAAAAATAAATTACCTCCATGAAATATGGGCTTGATATGTAAATGTAAATTTCTTCTTTAATTACGCAAATGACCTCTGCATTAACATAATATATGCATTGTGATGTTAACTTTTGATTAACTTAAAGATGTCCCAAGTATGACATTCCCATCATTCACCATTGAGAAATCATAGATTTTTTGCATTAATTATGCAAATTAGGTCATCATTTGCATAATTAGTATCTGTTGATGTTCCATCTGCCATAGGTTACATACATTACATGTATGAAAGTTCTATAATGTAAAACACTGTAATTATATAATTTCCTCATTAATTATGCAAATAAAGTCCTCATTTGCATAATTTGCAGTTAATTATGTACATCTCTCTGTCAGATACCTACACACCAAAAATGATGAAAATACGCTGTTCCTGTCTGGACTTATTGGCTTTCAAAGATTTCGCCC